TTCTTTTGCAGTATGCATACATCCCTTCTTTTGTATTTCATCGACTTCGTGTAGACCTTGCCTCTATTACTGGAGAAAATCAAGGCTTCTCTCTGACTTCCCGATAATTACGCTCTTTCGTTTCGCGACCACGGATTCTAGAGTGCTGGAGCCTGACCTACAATCGGGCATTTCTTTTGCTTTCTTTTCTTCATCGAACCCCACCTCCACCTCCAGCGTCACTCTTGAACGCTCTTGCAGTCTCATTTTTATCCCACGGCTTTTCAGTTCCGGTCTGCCCCCCTGCTTGCTCTGAAGAAAACGGTGCGCGTGGAAGGGGGGGGGGAGGGGTTGGTGTGGAGATCTGTTTAACAATCTTGTTATAACATTCCAAGAATAACATTTCGCTCGAAAAGACGAAAGGTTAGGTCTCGACTATCACCTTACATTTCTGGGAAGAGAATTCCTCGTTTGAGAGCACGATTCCTATGGGCTAAGCAGGCGAGAAGTATGGATATCGTACCGCCTGTTGACATCTGAACTAACATCCTCAAAAGTAAACTTCAGTGAAAATTTTTCTCAAGCAATCTTGCAGAACTTCTCAAACATTGGTAAACATACGGTTCCACAGCCTTCTGCGTCAGCGTGCATCAACGTGCAGCACATGCGGACCACTTCGGCCTCCATTTTACGAACACCCGGGAAGAGCTTTGGCCACAAAGGATTCGACCACGCAAAGTTCTTGAATACCTGTAATTTGTTTAGCATTCCTATCTGGGAACAATAACCCTGTGTATAAAAAAGGTATTTTTTACAAAGCCTATTCCGGCCTTTGTTCCGTCATGGAATGCACCACGCATTCCACTCAAAAAGTTGATTGTGACTTGGCCTATACAATGATCTGACCCGATGTACAGGTCAGTGTTATTATTCCCCCCCCCCCCAGCCAATGGTACCAACTGATTCAAGTCGAGATGAACTGTGGCGGCTGGCGGTGCGGCGCACCACACAAGTTTGATTCCCAGACGCCGCGTCGGTAGGTACGAAGTTACGCGACCCAGCATTCACTTTTCCTCGTTAGAACAATTTGTTCTCAAGCATCCAGTCTGCAGAGAATTTTTAAAAGCTCAGTCTCAAGTGCGCGCCATCTCTAATAATTATTAATTCAGGTTAGAAATGAATACATTGTGGCCCAATCGTACTTTTGATTTATATGAGCTCGACTTGCGTCAGCATATAGTGGGTTGAAAAGCTGAGAGGATGTAAAAATAATATAATAATTGGGGAAATTATTGTTTTTGTGTGTTCTTTAAAATGTGCATAACTTTTATTCGGGTCTGGATCAGGGGATCCCGAGTTTGCCGTGGGTGCAATAGAGGCGTCTTGAAGCAGCGTTGCGGGAGTGGCAAAAGAACGGCGACCCCCAGGGAAGTGAGTAAGGTCACCATCATCACCATCAAAGTCGTGCCCACCGCCCCGCAGCCGACCCAATTCCGATTCGCGGGTTCACTTGCAGTTCAATTAAGTTTTTGGTCCTGTAATGGGGAAAGCACAGGCTATCAGAGGTCGGCACCTGGTTCGGTTCCAAATTCCACTGAGAAGGTGGGAGCTCTAGGACTAAGCCGAGGGGACTGGAGGAGGGAGGGACTCTGTGGTGGGCGAGCCATTTACAGTGTGGCACGAGTGTGAGTTCCAGTGGTCATGGGCATCCGTTTAGGTGATAGAGCGCAGGCAAGTGCATCAAACTGAAATAGTTTGAAGGACCGAGGCCAAGTGGTCCGTCGGCACCCAATCCTAGCCAGAGCCGCCTGCCGTGATACGGCCTGCCTTCTTCTGCCGTGTTTTGCTCTTCTACTGGTTCAAGCTTTTCTAATTTATGCGTTATCGAGAAAGGGATGTCATTTGAATGCATGATACCAGCTATCGGGATAAGCATGTGCAAACGAATTCGTCTTGATTGCATGGTCACTCGTCTAGCTAGTCAAAGGGAAAAACAACAGGAAAAAGGGTCCCATTCTTTGGGTCCCAAGCAGTTTTCTCTCGCTTTTCTCGAGCAGCGCACCCCTACCACCTCTACTTTTACCTCCAGTCGGCAATGATTTTTTGAATATCTCCATTCAAGCCCCTCTCATCCTGCCATTTCATCAAATGTTCTCCTAGCCCAATCTAACAGTCGTACGCGCCTCACAAAAATGGATTCTGGTTAAACTTTGAGGCTGAGAAGAACTACATAACTCTTCAGCAGCTTTGCGATGAGACAAAATATTCACCCTTTCCAGGATAATCCCGACGTCGGCTCATGCCGCATTCACGAAGGCGGCCGAAGTCTTCAGAATACGCGTTATCCGTATTCCTGTTAATCCAACTACGTTCAAAGTGGATCTACGGAAAATGAAGGCGGCCATTACGAGCCGAACATGCATGGTGGGTATATAATTAAGAGCGAGACGTGTGCTCAAAAAAAATTTATGGTGAACAAATTTTATGGTTATTTTCAGCTGGTTGGTTCAGCTCCAAACTTTCCGTTCGGCACCGTTGACGACATTGTTGGCATAGGACAGCTCGGCCAGAAGGTACTACTGTCCGTTGAGCAAGCCTTTTTTCAACTTTGAGGGAAGAATATGGTTCCGATTTTAGCACGACATCCCGGTTCACGTTGATGCGTGTTTGGGTGGATTTATTCTACCGTTCATCGACGATCATCACCCGTTCGATTTTCGTGTTCCAGGAGTGTGTTCAATTTCTGCTGACACTCATAAGGTGAGAACTTCCTAACGGCAATTTGGTGATGCTCGTAGGACAGAAGTTCGGATTCAGTACGGTCTGTCGCCGAAAGGCTCATCCGTGGTGCTCTACAAGAACAAGGAGTACCTGCACAACCAGTACTTTTGCGATGCCGACTGGCAAGGAGGAATCTACGCGTCGTCTACC